TATAAATAAGTAACCCCCAGGAGAGTATTGGTAATTATTAAGGCCCCTACATTACAGGGCTTAGGGTTTAGGGTTTAGGGTTTAGGGTTTAGGGTTTAGGGAGTAACAGTAACCCGGATCCCCAGACCCAACCTGCAACTACAACTGGCGTTGTTGGCCGGGCCTGAGGCGAAAACCAGCCGCCAGGAACAGTTCGGCCACGATTCGAGATTTCACCGGAGGGTTCAATTCCTGTCGAGTTTAGAGTCTTGGTTCTATAAGGGCGTCGGGTAGCTTCGGAGCTCTGCTTTCTGTTTTGAACGGAGGGATTGGGAAGCGCTGTCGGATTTGGCTGCGGCATGGCTCCGACAGAAGGAAAAACGATGCGACAGATCATGCATATGCCTGCTGCAACGGCAAGTCACACGGCCTCCACGGAAATGAAGTATTGAAGACTCAAGCAAGACAGCGCAATGCCAAAACGAAGGTACGAACACTGTTTAGCAAAAGCATCTCCAGAGAACCCAATGCCTCTTCATTCATAAATAAATAAAAGTAAGTCACTGTAGCATAAAGCCCATTACAGTTTCAGGTATATTCCTTACATAAGGGGTATTGGGGTCTGGGTTGGTGGGCAATCACTGAAACGAGGCGTTCCTTTTCTCGCTGCACTCTAACCTGAGCAATCTAGCACAAGCAGAGCGGAAAGGCGCCCCCTTTCTTGACTACGCCAGGTAGGCCCCAACATCACAACAGCGAACGCAACCCTCTAAGCTGAGTCTTAAGACTTGAAGCGAGATTGTAAATAACCTCATGCTGAACCCTAGCCGGACAAGCATTGTGTCCGAATTCTTGCTGCATCTTCAGCGTCTTCTGCGGCTTCCAGCCTGCATGCCCCAACCCCCGTCGGCAGGCTTCCAGGAGGCCACTGGGTCATGCACTTCCCTGGAAGCAACGTGCCATGCGTCTCACTCCCAAAACCTAAACCCGTCTGGATATGATGCTAGATGCCGTGCCAATGAAGTTCGCTGCACTGACTCCAGCATCGAGCAGCTTCTGTCGCTCCCCTCCCACTGTAGGCAATAGGGGGCTGAACAAGCAGAGTAGGGTTTTGGGTATGTTACTTGTATTGCGGGGTTTAGGGTTTAGGGTTTAGGGTAATGGTGCTGATGATTCAGACCCCTCAATTAGAGCGGCCTGTCAACAACTGGCACAGCGAATGCTTGCTGCCCGCTGGGGCGCTCCTTCCAGCTGCACCGCTTAGGCTTACAGTACAGTCGGCGAGAGGGAGAGGGTGAGGTTTTCCATGGTTTCAGGGTTTGGGGGGGTTTACTTGGAGGTTCATGGGGAGTTATAAGTGGGTGTCTAACTATGGTAACTATCGTTCTAACCCAGGGTTTCAGGGTTTGTAGGGGGGTTTAGGACTGTGGACGTTCGGGCGTCGGGTTTGGAGTTTCATTCCCAAGTCACCCAGTTTGGAATTTGTGGCTTGGGATCCCGGAGCCCGAGCTTACCCTGTCTGAGGTCAAGGCCCTAGATGCTGGCTTAGGGTTCAGGGTTTAGGGGTTTAGGGTTTAGGGTTTAGGGTTTAAACTTGAAAGCCTTTGGCGGCCAGGAACACGTGAAGCCTAAACCCTAAACCAGACGACTGAGTGCATGAAAGAAGCTGCTGCCTGAAACCCTGAAGCCGTAGCGGAACGTGCCAAAGAAGCAGCAACAGTTCTCGAGTGTGCCCCTTCGAAACACACAGGGTGAACAGACACATCAATCACAAAAAAACTCTGGGCTACCCTATCGGCACTTGAAAACCCCAGCCCCGGAACGTTGGCTGCCCCCTCCTTGGGGCGTCAGAGTGCGGACACGCCTGGCAAAGAGTTTGATAGTTCGGGGCTCAGAAGATAGGATGAAGGTAGGTAGGATTCAGGTAGGATCCAAGATCCCTTATACATTGTGTGGGCAGTTCTCTAAGTTAGGTTCCCGTTGTAGGTCCCCGAAATAGTACAGCACCCCTGCAACAAGGACCCTAAAAGAGACCCTAATTTAGAGAACTACCGTTGATCATATCAATCCTGCATTACCTTAAAGGCCCCAAACTATGGGAATTCTGGTATATTCCTTATCATCGGTAATTGCAGGATTTATAAATTATAACATCAACCCATTTGGGGACCGCTCTTTGGGACCACCCTACCGACCTTCATCCCACCTGAGGAGCCCTTTGAAGCGCGGGGCCTTCATCCACAAGCGATTAGGGCTAAGGGTTTAGGGTTTAGAGTTTTAGGATTTAGGGTTTAGGGTTCGGGGTTTAGGGTTTTGAGTTTAGGGTTTTCGAGGTGTCGAAATGTTACTAGCATGGGTTTGCCCTTCGTATGATATCCTTCTCTTCTTCTTGCCCTAGACCCCTAAACCCTAAAACCCAAAAACCTAAACTCTAAACCCCAGCACCAAAAACCCTACGTTATCTAGGCCCTTACATTACCCATAGGCCCCATAGTAGTTCCATTTTGTGGCTTATATTTAGGATCCGGGTCTAGGGTTTAGGCTTTAGGGTTTGGGGTTTAGGGTGTAGGGCTTAGGGCTTAGGGTCCTTATGTAGGAGCCTTAATAACTAGAATAGGGTGTTGGGCTCCTTAATGCTAATAAGTAGAATAGGGAGCCCTAAGGAAGAAATAAATATACTAGGGAACCCTAAGGAAGAAATAACTATACCAGGGAGCCCTAAGGAAGAAATAAATTTACTAGGGAGCCCTAAGGAAGAGATAAATATACTAGGGAACCCTAAGGAAGACTATTGGTAAGTATTTAGGCTTCTGCATT